CACCTCAGCCTCCCAAGGCGCGGGATTACAGGCTGAGCCACTGAGCCCAGCTTAAATGGCTATTTCTATAATTTATTTTAATGTTTATTGGCTTGATTTTTCTTCCTTTGCAGGAACACCCAGAAGTAATGCTGTGTTTCCACTGTATCTGGTGGTGCATGATTTCAATCTGTCCCATGACTGCTTAGGTTCAGTTTGATTCCTGGTGAAGGGGTGTCTGCCAGTCATCTCCCCTGTGCTTCCAACATCTTTGAAAGTAATAAGAATCTGTGGTGTCCTCTGATACTTCATGAATATCCCCCTCCTGATCAAATCATGGACTCCTATATTCACACTTTCTTAAATGTGATTAGGTATAATTCTACCATTATATTTATTTCCACAGCTGACCTTCCTCACATTTATTCTATGAAAGGTCCATTTAAGTTGGCTCTTAATAACTGCTGTTCTACCCCATCATTCTCTGGTCATTTGTTTAGCTTATGACACTGGATGGCTCAGACTCATCTTCTAATTATGATATTTTAGACCTGAAAACAGCCATTTCTCCCAGGATTACATATTATTTTTAGTATAAATTTCTTAAAATATTGATGTACTAAAAGTATTCATTACTATGGATGTATTATTGCTTCCAAGAAAATTTATCTCTATCTTCTATCTATCTATCTATCTATCTATCTATCTATCTATCTATCTATCTATCTGTCTGTCTATTTATCTGTTTATCTAGCTAGCTATCATCATCTACCTGTCTATCATGCCTATACCTCATTGCATCTCTGGTTTACAACACCAAGGGCTCCAGAGAATCTGACCAAAGAAAATGCTTCTCTGGGCTCAATTATATTCATAAGTACAAAATGCAATGAACTTCTAAAATTTTCTGCAGTTTTTGCCAAGTATTTCCCGGAGAGGCCCAGTCTTAGATGGAAAGCTAGAAAGAGAGCAGAGCATAAACTATGAAGAGAGCAGAAGAACACTCTACTCACAGGACAGCAGACTGATTATGTCCTGTGGTCCCAAGAAAGAAATATGTTCTCTACAGGTGAATGCATGCTTCTCTGATCAACCTTTGAAGACATGGGAGTCACTGGGCCTGTGCAGTATTGATGAGATTAGTCATCCTTGCAGCTATGAAGATCTGATGTTCCTAGACCATTTTCCACTGCCTGAAGACTTCATAAGCTGGTAAGAACCTGTGCAGGAGTCAGCCCCACTCAAGTCGCAGCATGAATATGAGGGCTCTTGCTCAACTTCTGGTGCTCCTACTGCTCTGGTTCCCAGGTAATAATAGTGACACTAGGAACTAACTCAAAGAGTGAGGCCAGTACTGCCTGGCCATTCAGGGAAGTCCTCTTATAGCATGATTAATTATATGGAATTTTATTTATGTATCCAATCTTGAAAGCCAGATGTTACCTCCAGATAACTCAACCTGCATCCGTCCTGTCAGCATCTGTTGGAGACACAGTCACCATCATTTGTTAGGCAACTTATGATGTTAGCAATGATTTACAACAGTATCAGCAGAAACCAGGAAAATCTTCTAAGCTTTTGATCTATGCAGCATCCAATTTGCAAACTGGGGTTGCACTGAGGTTCAGTGGCAGTGGTTATGGGTGAGATTTTACTCTTTCAGCAGCCTTCAGTCTGAAGACCTTGTAACTTACTACTGTTAACAGGATTAGAGTTACCTTCCCACAGCGCTACAAGTTATAACATAAACCACCCTGGGAAACAAATTTGTGAAGCTGGATTAGCTCAAATGCTCCTCCTGGTGATTCTATCTGCTGAGAGCTTTTCTGACTTACACTCTGAAAAACACTGGGAGGTCTTGGTGTAATGGGGTATGAGGGCTCTCTGTTCTATATCTCTTTTCTCCTCCTCAACTCTAGAAAGAGGCATGTCATGTATTTTATTTAATAAAAGTCAGTCATCACTACATTTGAGGAATCTGGAGTACAAAAACAGCCATGGTTCATACAGGAAAGGAGAAGCTGCTGGAAGTTCTCCAAGGAGGAATTTTTCTAATATAAGGAATCAATGGCTAAAAACTGGAAGAAATTGGTAACATGGGAATATCCAGGATTACAAAACAGAGTAGATTCAAGGGTAGAATGAGAGTACTTGTTCTAGAAACCCACAACTTTTCAAATGCCAGATGATATAATAGTTAGGAAACCATAGAGGGAAAAGGGGTTCTGAGAAAGTGCTTCTAGAAGTGATGATGTTGATGGTAAGTTCACAGCAGACAGCCCAGAATGGTCTCTAATTCCTCAGCTCTTAGAATTATCGCACTTGAAGACTGGTCCCATAAAACACTTGGATTTGCTTCTAATTGTCAACAGCAAGTTGGGACCATAGAAAGAACAATTTATTAAGTGGTAGAGTCAGCAGAAAAAGTGAGACTAGTTTTTATTTAATCTTATTTTATTGCATAAAATGTATGACTCCAATCTGACAAACACATAAAAAGTCTTTCTTGACAAAAATTTAAAAAATGACACTTAAAAGTGGATGTAGGCTGGGCATGGTGGCTCACTGCTATAATCCCAGCATTTGGGAAGCTGAGACAGGAGTATTGCCTGAGCCCACGTGTTCGAGATCAACCTGGACAACTTGGTGAGACCTCATCTCTACAATAAATGAAAAATAAAAATTAGCCAGGCTTGGTGGCTCATGCCCATAGTCCTAGCTTCTTGGAAGGCTGAGGTAGATGGATTGCCTGAGTCCAGCAGGTCAAGGCTGTAGGAGTTATCAGTACACCATTGCACTCCAGCCTGGGCAACAGAGTGAGACTTCAAATTTTTAAAAGTGGATGTAGCATTATTTTTCTTTCTACTCAATATTCGACTGGAATTCTAACAACATCTTCAGCTTCACTAAATGCCTGTTACAAATGAAAAATTGCAGAACCACCTACAATGAACTGAATGAGAGTCTACATTTTAGGAAATTAAAAGCGATCCATACAGTTTAAGAAGATACACATTAGCGAAAATTTGCTTCACCTAAAAAGATTTTTTTCCTTCAGTAAGGTCACTTAAGCAAAGTTCTCTTTAAAATTACGTGTTGAAAAAAATACATCTTCACTCCCTAAGTAATTAAACTTCAAATCTTTTTTTAAGATTGTAAAGGATGAAAAACATTATTATTAATTGATAGCATAATCACATATTTGCCTGTGCCTCTTGGTTTGGGAATTTTGTTCGGTCTTGTAACTTACCATTAAAATGTTGTGTCTTCAGCAATCCCTGTGCTAAATCCTCAACCCCAAATCAAATTCAATCCAAAGACTGCAGGTAAGCTTAGTTCCCTGCAGGAGAACAACCCCCAGCTGACCTCTGCCTGGATCAGCAGATCATTAACATGAAAATCTCTGAACATGAAAATCTGTAATTGGTGTTACATAAGCCACTGTATTTTGAGTGACTGTTTAGCAATCATTATTTGGTACATGCTGGCCAATACAATATTTTCACATCTATCCATAGAGTTAAATGTTTCTTCTAAAAATATTTGGCCTTAATATGAATATTTAAAAATACATTTTTGAAGAAATTAATACTGAATAAATCTGAGTAAAATATACAAAATTTGCATCACTTATAGAAATTTGATATGTATTTATAATATATGCATAGGTGCATATATATTTATTTGATATATTGTTGGTTGCACATACTTAAATATGCACATATTCATGTCAAATAAGCTTACTATTCCAGATTAATTTAGTATTATTTTCTTTTTTCAAAATTATTTTTTAATTAGAAGACACAATTTTTGCCTTGATACTTAGGTAGATTTCTAGTGGACTGATGTCACACCACTGCCAGCTGAAGCATGCCTTGGAGGAGTGGAAATCACAACAGAGGGTAAAATCCAGTGGTTAAATCTGATGGTCACTTTGCAAAGAACTATTGGCAGTTCACTGACATTGACTGTTGCTTTCAAAGCTTATCAGGCCTTAGAAAAACACAGTTTGAAACATTGGAGATAAAATTATTTTAGAAAATTATGACTATAATGTTCAAAATGGGGCAAGCTTGAAAATAATAGTTTTCCAAGTAAATATCTATGTAAAGGCCATTTTTGAGCACGGGGTTCTTGATAAACAAGGTGATCCAACACATGGACTTCAGTCAGTCTTCTTTCCTGGCTCTTGCAGTGAGGTCCATGCATTGGCTCAATAGTATGAATTTCACCCAATCAAGGGTCACATGGCTACTGGCACTCTTGAGTATCCAATCAGCAGAGCCTACACTAGCAGGGCATGGTAGGGATGGAGACCAATGCCCATGATTCAGACATGTATGAATAGAGGCTGCCAAGTTCAAGCAATAAATCTCAGCAAATTTTTTCTTCCCAACTGTACCTTCTGCCTTTGCCATGTCAGAATATGTCTAAATGCAAATTTTGCAAACATGACAGAAGGACTAAAAGTTGGGTGATTGTTAGCTCTACCAAAAAGGTTCTTTTCATGCTAGAATTCTGCCTCACCTAGTCTTGATTTCTCCACTGTTTTCTTGTCATAAATATATAAATTTCATATTTTATTCTTTTAAAATTTTGTAGCTTTTACAATGGTTGTATTGGCCTTTCCATACCTCCATAATTGTCCATGGGAATGAATATTTCTTTCATTTTTAAACTTAAATAATGCTTTATAAATGACTATGTTGAAATCATATAGTCATGAAAATATTTTTAGACAATACATAATGCAGTATTTTCACAATACATGATCAGTAATTGAAAATTAATTGGATTGCTACAGTCTATCAGTAATGGTTTAGAAAATATATACTTTGCATATATTCAAACATTTCAAATACATGCTCTGCATAGTCTTAAATATTGCTCTAAGACTAGTTCCAAATTCATATCCAAGAATAACATGCCATGATGTGAATTGATGGATGTAAAAGACGATTTGAATTCACAAATAAAAGATTCCTAGACCAGGCTCGGTGGCTCAGCCTGTAATCCCTGCACCTTGAGAGGCCAAGGTGGGTGGATTGCCTGAGCCTTCAGGCTCGAGGCCAGCCTGGGAAAATTGGTGAGATCTCATCACTACAATAAATAAAAAATTAACTGGACATGGTAGCACATGCCTGTAGTTCTGGCAACTGGAAGACTGAGGCAGAAGGATCACCAGAGCCCAGCAGGTTGATGCTGGGGTGACCATGAGTGTGCCACTGCACTCCACCCTGGGTGACAGAGTGAGACTCCAACTCAAACAAAAAAATTAAAAAGAGAGAGATTCCTGATTTTGATTAATGGAAAAAATTATATTGGATGTCATTTTGTATTCCAAGAATGTGAATTCTATGACACTAATGACTAGTTTGTTTTCATTTTTTTTCTTTTTTATAGAAAGGGTCTCACTGTTTTACCCAGGCTGGAATGAAGTGATGTGACCATGGTTCACTGCATCACTTGCAGCCTTGAACTCCTGAGATCAAGCCGTCCTCCTGCCTCAGCCTTCTGAATAGGAGACACTAGGAGTGTGCCACCAAGCCCAGCTACATTTAATTCTTAATCAGACAGACCAGATATAATGTTTTAAAAATGAATTTTGGTCATCTTGAAGATGGCGGCTGAGCCTGACAGACTATGCACGTCCCGGTGTGAGTGAGTGAGTATGTAAAATTTTGTGTATGTACTGGTGAATGAGTGGGTGTGTGAGTGGCTGTCAGAATGCGGGCTAGGGAGCAAGCGGCCATGACTCTCCTGGTACAGTGGCTGGTGCCATAGTTAATAGACTTGAACCCTAGCAATTCCCAGGATGCAGAAACTGAGTGCCATTATTTAAAAAATTAACAAAACCCTTCCTGGGAAGAAAATGCTGGGAGAGACAATCTAAGTGAGGGATTGTGAGCAAGTGGTCAGGACTCTGGTGCAACAGCAGGTGCTTCAGCTTCTCTGTTTGGTTCCTGGCTCTTCCCAGGTTGCAGAAGCCAAGTGCCTTTTAAAAAAATGAACCAAAGTTTTCTTGTGAAAAAGCAGTGGGGAGAGCCTATCTTCCCATGCTCTGCCTCACCATTGCAATAGGAGAGACTGTCAGCTCCAGGCTTTGCCTCACCACTACAGCACCTGGCAGGGAACTGGCAGCAGGAGCTGCAGAGGGAGTCCAGAGGCAAAGTCTCTTCAGAGAGGTTGGCCATCTTAAAGGCAGGGTAAGAAAGTGCTCCAACTTGCTCACCACGGAGCAACAGACCCTACCTCTGTGACTGGTAGATCAGCTACACAGAGATTGATCATGACCCAGAGGGAATGTC